TCTATCTTGCTGAAGGAGCCCTGGGACTACAGGTGTGTACTACTTCTAGATTTACATGGTTTCTGCGTAGATATGACACCTATGCTTGTAGGACCAACACTTTACTCATTGAGCCATCTTCCAGATCAAGTTGTTCTTTTCTCTTTTTAAATTAATTATTGTTTTTATTATTATTTTGAGACAGGTCTCATACAGCCCAAATTGTTCTGAATTCCCTCTGTAGACCAATCTCCCCTAGAACTCAGAAATTCATCTGTCTCTTCTTCCATCCGAGTGTTGGGATTAAAGATGTGTGCCACCATTGCCCAGCTCTTAATTCACTTAATTTGATTATATCCAGTTTCATCTATTTTCCTACAAGTGACATAACTTTCCTCTTGGCTGAAAAAAAATTCTCTATGTTGTTTCTATAACTTAGCTCTTGTGAGTGTGCTTCAAAAATACTGATCTGCAAATATCCCTGTGATGTGTTGACTTGGAGTCCTTGGTATAAATACTCAGTAGTGGTATAACTGGCCTATAACATGCACTACATCTGTTGTTGGATGTATGTATATTACAAACATCCATACTGACTTCCATAGTTACTAGATGATTTTACATTCCTAGAAGCAGTATAAGGAAGGGCTTTTGTGTTTTAAATTATACCCTTTCGGTGAGATGTAGTTTTAATTTGCATTTCTCTAATGGCTAGGAGGTATAACATTTCTAATATCTAGGAACTGTAGAATGTTATTTGCAAAGGGTGTTTTGACCTTTTCATTTTCTATTTGTATTCCAGCCCCTTCTCTTGGCTCACTACTCTAGCTAAGATATCAAGCAGTATATTGAGTAAGAATTGACAAGTGAGCTAGGTATGATGGCACTCGCCTTCAATCCCAGCACTGGGAAAGCAGAAGCAGGTGGAGTTCAAGGTTACCTATCCCCAACCATAGAGGGAGTTCCAGGCTAGCCAGGAATACACAGTGAGATCCTGTCTCAGAAAAGGAAAGGAAAGAAAAGGAAAGAAGAAAGGAAGAAAAGAAGAAAGGAAGAGAGAAAGAAAGGAAGAAAGAAAGAGAGAGAGAAAGAAGGAAGGAAAGAAAGAAAGATAGAAGGAAAGAAAGAAAGGAAGAAAGGGAGGAAGGGAAGAAAGAGAGAGAGAGAGAAAAAAAGAAAGGAGAAGATGATCACTCAGGCCTGCAAGATGGCTTAATGGGTATAGGTACTTGCCTCCAAGCTTGATGACCTGAATTTGATTTCAGGACCCACATGATCTCACAGTATTTTCTGACCTCTAAAACACAAACACCACACACACACACACACACACACACACACACACACACACACACACACTATCTATCTATCTATCTATCTATCTATCTATCTATCTATCTATCTCAATCTCTCATTTTCTCTCTTTCTCTCTCAAGCTTTAAAAAAAAAGAAAAAAGTCCTTATCTTGTTTTGATTTTAGTGGAAATGCTTTTGTGTTTTTACTAGTTAGTATAATTAACGTTGGCTATAGGTTTGTCACGTGTATCTTTTGTGAGCTATATTTTTTGTATCTCTAGTCTTTTCAGGGCTTCTGTGAAGGGATGTTGATATTATTAAAACTCTTTTACATCAGTTGAGATGAAATTAGGGTTTTTCTGCTTGAGGCCGTAGATTATTGTTATACTGACTTACATATGTTGGATCATCCTCTTCTCTCTTCTATGAAGCCAACTTGATCATGGTGAATGATTTTTTTTTTTCTGATGTGTTCTTCAGTTCTGTTTGTAGATATTTTATTGAAAATGTTTGATCTATGCTTAGCAGAAAAATTGGTCAGTAATTTTTTCCTTTTTTGTTTTTAAATAAAAAGAGTTTGGTAGTATTCCTTCCATTCTTTTCATTCTGTGGAGTAGTTTGAGAAATCTTAGAAGCCATTGCTTTGGAGTTATTAATTTTTGGAGGAATCATGTTGCCTTGATTTTTTTTCATGTTTCTTGTGTTGTTGCCTTAGGACTTCAACACTAAGTCACTGGTTGGAATGTTTTGTTGTTTGTTTTTATCTCCTTATTCTTTTCAGTGGAACTGCCTGTAGTGTTCAAAGAAGGAACTGGATTGTGTTTAGTTGAGGTGTCATTTTCCTGTGCTAGACTGGTACTGAGCTTCAGTCCCTATACTCCCCCTGAGAGTAGAATACTGTCCATGTAAACAACAATTTCTCATTTATTCCAGTTTCAACTCTTATTGCATTCCTTCTCAGGTTCCCAGATGCCTTAGAACTCTTGTTTTAGCTGCAAATTGATTTTCCCTTTCTTGGCTGTTAGCACTCTCTGATAACATGGACTTCCCTTCTTTAGTGTACTGATCTTTCATGAAAGGTATGAAGGATTGCTGTGGAGTCTGCGTTCTCATTTTGTGAACAACTACTATAATTTTAAACAAAACCCTTATTCCTTATGTCCTTTCATCTTAAAATGTGATGTTTATCTGAAGGGAACAGTTGTGTCACCATGCTAGTAGCACTGATTTCTAGCTAGCGTGGTTCTCTCTCTCTCTCTCTCTCTCTCTCTCTCTCTCTCTCTCTCTCTCCATATATATATATGTATATATATATGTGTGTGTGTGTGTTACTCTTTAGTTGGTATTGGTGAATATTTTCTAGAATATTTTAAAGTAGTTTAAGAATATATACATCAAGCCACATTCCACATTTCTTTTTCATTGATTACTATCTGTGGTTTGGTTTCTCAGAATAAATTATATTAATTATATTACAAAACTTTGATAACTGCAACTCTGTGTACCTACCTGTAAACATTCTGCTTACTTGACCTTGTACTTGAAAGTACTTGGCATAGCAAGACATGCGGCAGCTCTGCTTATATAAACTGGGTGGACCGCCATCAAGCCTGTCATCCCTTTCTAGGGTTCTTTGTTGTCCAGAAACAATAATTTAATAAATAATATGCATTGCTCAAGTGCTCCTGAATTATACTATTCCAGTTCTATACACTTCAAATAAAGAACTGATTCAGAAGATCATAAGGAAGTACTGGTTATGTTTAGTGATTATCTTTGTTACTTAAACATATTAGGAAAGTCTATTGTAAAAAACTAAATAAAGATCAGATGTTGCTTATTGATAACTTTTACTTCTTTAGTATTTTCACAGTGCTGGTTAGTGTTTGTTAATCAATGAGTCACATGGCAAATGCTTTATTGGAATCAGCTAAATCACATAATATATATAAAGAAAGACGGTTGTCATTAAACTAAGGAACAACTAGGTTGTTCTTGAGGAGCTATTGAACCTTTCATCTGACTATTTTAAGCAATATAAAATCATTTGCTTTTTGTTCAGAATTCTTGGGCTTTTAGGGTTTGTTTTCATTTGTTCACTTTTTTTTTAAGTTTATTTATTTTATGTATGAGTACATTAGCTATTTTCAGACACACCAGAAGAGGGCATCAGATCCTGTTACAGATGGTTGTGAGCTACCATGTGATTGCTGGGAATTGAACTCAGGACCTTTGGAAAAGCAGTCAGTGCTCTTAAGAACTGAGCCATCTCTCGGGCCCACATTCGTTCATTTTTTAAGGCAGAGTCTCTCTATGTAGCCCTGGCTGGCCCAGAACTAGCTATGTAGACCAGGCTGGTTTGTAACTCAGAGATCTACTTGCTTCCCAAGTATTGGATTAAAGGTATGCAACACCATGTTTGGCCTTTTTGTTGGTTTTAAAGGTTAGTTTAGAATATGGTATTTCTCTCTCTCTCTCTCTCTCTCTCTCTCTCTCTCTCTCTCTCTCTTCTTTCTTTCTTTCTTTCTTTCTTTCT